GTGCCATAAGCTGTATCCCACCTGTCACAAAAAAGTCAGTGATTTCTCTTATAAAACAGCATTTTTTTTCGTTTTAAACTAAAAATAGTTCAATCCAAAAGTATTGTTTAGAGTAAAACATGTTAAAGATTAGCAGATAGGCTGTTGATTTATTAAATGATAAGCCATTTCTTCTAAAAAGCTGTTTATTCAGCATAGTGAAGCCTCTCCTCCATTGACATCTATTCAAAAAAATGGCCTCTGGTCTCCTTTCCCACGTACTGCCAGACCAGAAGCACTGCCAGACCAGAAGCGTTAGCTTTAGCCGTTACGCTTTTTCGGCTAATGGCTGCAGGCTTGCCTTCTAGTGGCTTTGGATGCACCCTCCGAAGACCGCATTCCAAGGCCGATTGCGTCATCGCGGCACGATTCAAATGCGCCCTCCGTTTCCCAGGAAAATGAAGTGCACATCTGATGGACACTTCGCACCCTACCACAGACCTGCCAACCTGTACGCATTTTGCGTAGCGGATACGCATTTTGACCTCAAAGTACACTGGTACGATTTGTCACTCCAAACTACGCAAAAAACTTGGTGACGCCTCTGTCCACGTGCAGTATTCAAAACAAGCAACAAAAAAAGATGAAGAGTTAAACCAATCAGAGCGTTTTTTTAGGTTTTGCTTTTAAATTTCCATGCGTTTTATTTCTCTCCAAGCTGGCTCTGTTTGTGTGTCCGTGAGTCTGCGCGCTGAGATGAGTAAACGCCTGCATCTGAAAAAGCAACACACGCCGAGCATCTTCCCTTGTAATGACTAAACCTTTTGTCCAACAACAAAAAAGAACATTATAACATTCTTTTACTGCACAACATCAGACAAATATTTAAAATAATTTCCCTCTTGATCTGATGTGGCTTCTTATCACAGAATGACGCAGAAATAAATTCTACACTGGAATAACGGCTAAATCGATTAGCAGTGGATTATAAATATAACGTTACTTAATTATTAAAATACTCGAGGTGGTTTTAAGAACACAGATAAACATTGTCGCAGTACAGTGTTTATTATCTTAATGTTCTTTTTGAATGTCATCATTCAAAGCGTTTCTGTCTTCTTTCATTCAGTTACAGCCATAGCTGGCTGTTTTTGTCCATATTAGGAATTTCCTGGAGCGTCCTGAGTTCTATTTCTTCTATAATGTATATGTGGATTTTCTGCGCGAGGGTGCCCTCAGGCGTCCAGTGTGAATGAAACACACATTACATGTGTTCATAGCACTAAATAATGGCCAATCCATAAAAATACTTCTTTTTTTAAATAGCATTTAAAAATAGCAAAAAAAGAACTAAACCAAAAAATGTGGTAAAAATTTTAAAAACTGAGGTATTTATTGAACCGTGGGCTAACTGTATTGTTGCATCCGTACTGTTTACTCTGAAATACAGTATAATACATGAATATCACAAACTGAGTGCAGACCGTGATTATTAACCTATAAAAAATACATTTAACATTAAATCTTGCAAACTCCCAATATATAAATTTATATAAATACATTTGTCAATATACTTTTTTAAATGTCACATTGTCAATGAAGCAACCTAATTTCTGTAATTTTTTGTGATGTAAGTTCAAAATTAAATGAATAAGTTGTATGCATTTTTTTTTTTCATTTTTATAGTGTAATTTATTTGTAAATGAGCCTGAGTACTTTCTGTACATTTTGTATTTTTATTTTGCATATTCACATGTGTAAATAAAATAAGTAATTATGTACAATGTTAATTTTTTTAATGCAGCTTATAATTTTTTGCACAAAACATTCTTCTATGTTTCTTTTTTTTGTCTTGTAAATAATTTTTTTACACATTAAAACAAATTGTTCTATACATTACTGAAAGTACTTTTTAAAACTATTTACAACATAGCCTAGGTTTAACATCAGAAAAACAACATTTTTCTTTCAATTAGGACTATTTATTTTTGGAACCGATTTATCATATTACAAGATATAAGCTTATCAAAACAAATATCTTGGTTAAGAGTATACTAGTTGTGATAAACAGTGCAATTTTTTCATATTTTATTTAATATTAACAAAATTATCCACAAATAATGCTTTTTTCACTCAAAAAACTGAGGTATGTAAGCTCAGATTAATGAGGCCTACGATAAATCAGTTCCAAATATATATACAAAACCAGTCCTAATTGAAAGAAGACAAGCTGATAAAAAGATTGATACCAATATTTGGAGATAATATAGCATAACCAGAAATGTATAAATTATTTTTTGTGGACCGGTCATTTTTGACCGGGAACACCACAAGTGTAACGTTGAATAAAATAAAAAATTAAATAAATCATTTTTTTGCAGTGGAAGTAACTATGCCCTGTGCGGATAAAATCAGTAAATCTTAGTCAGTACCGCCGCTCTCTATAAGCTGAGTACGCAGTTTGTGTAGAGCACCAACTCCCAGGGGGGGCACCATACCAGTTGCTCCAAAAAAACTTTCGTTCTATATTAATATTAAAATTAACATATCCTATACATAAATAAAAATCTAAAGATGAACATATATAATTATTTTTAAAAAGCATTTTACGGTGAACGCAGTAGGCTAAGCACACGTGACGCGCCATTCCCACATCCGCAACCGCTGGGACCTCATTAAAAACAAACAAACAAACAAAAACGCTCGCACCTCACGTCTGCGGCTGAATGCAAAGGATCATAATTGATGGACAACTATGCGGTGAAAAGACATCAGCGATCCGGAGCAGAGAAAAGAAAAAGAAAAAAAGATGAAGCCCCTGTATCATTTTCAGGTAGCCTACATTCATAATCCTGTGAATCTTTTTTGCCTGTTGACGTTAACAACGTGTTTTAATGTTGGTGATAATTTAACCACCAACAACGCATCTAATATTCTCTCTGACTGTCCATGTTCCCTTACAAAAATTAGCCATGGTTTTACGAATAAAACCAAAAATCATGGTTCTTGTAGCCAAGGATGGTAGGCTAACCACAAATTAACCATGGTTTTGTTACTTCAAATAATAGTTTACAAAGACGTATTAAGATAATATTTTTTTGTGGTTATAAAATCAGACCTAAACCAACAACAGCCTTTAAAATTACTTAAAATGCATTATATAAAACAATGAGGCAATAATGATTGGTTAATTAATAATTAAGTGGTTTAATTGAATAACACCGTTTACTTTGTATTACATTATGTATTTTAACAATTTATGTATATTACATATTATTACATATGCTTGCAAAGGGAGCCAAAGGCCTGGTAACTGCTGCTGTGTGGTTGACTCTTAACTTTTATAAAGAATATCTCTTTGGATTTGAGACTTTAGTCTTTGCAACTTTACAGATCTTTTTATGCACCAAGAGCTTGTAACACTCCAAAGAGAAAGGAAAAATTGAAATCGCATCATATGACCCCTTTAATATTGACCAAACATTTAATTCAAATATCCACTTAATCGTTAATTTTTGGCCACCTTTTTGCAAAAGAAATGCGACAACCTTAATAATTTCTTCAACAAAAACATGTGGACATCACAACCCTTACAAAAAAAATAACCATGGTTTTAACATAGTAAAACTGCTTAGTTTTCTTTTGCGTGATTTCTGAACGCTTGAGACTATAAAATCAATCCGACAACTGTAGGCTATTAATAAAATAATAGCCATAGGTAACTGTCTAAAGCTACAATTGTCATTTGTAAATAATACAATATAATTACAATTTATATTTTATTAAAGTTCTATTTTGACCCCTATAGTAGGTTTTTTTTTTTTTTTGCTTTTTACATCCATAATATTTGGGGGAGGGGGCACAACAATACAATTTTGCTTAGGGCATCCATTTGGCCAGCAGCGGCCCTGATCTTAGTCCAATGGGATAACATTCACATTTTCGGGAGAAAAAAAATCCTCTCCGGGTCAAAATGACCCCAACACAACCTGAGGGTTATTTGAAACAGAAATCACTTGTAACATTAAAAATGTCTTTACTCTGACTTCTGATCAGTTTGTTGCATCCTGCTGGATTTTAAAAGTAGTGTATATTTCTGTTGAATTATTCATGTGTAAAAGAAGCTCTTAGGTTAATAAAAGTGCCATTTGTTCTCAAGCTAGTTTGAAATAAACCAGGCAACAGTTTCAACTAGGGCTGGACAATAATTCAATATCAATATGTATCGCGATATAATTTTTTTCAATAGGTGATATGATTTTTAAACACATTTCCGATATTTCGATATACATTACCAGTGTTTCCCATACATTGATTTATTTGTGGCGTTGAATAAACATGAGCACTGCACGTTTCAAAATCAAAACGCGTCGCGGGTGTTTTATATGAATGTATCTCTGAAGGGAACCGACTGTCTTCAGAATAGTTTAGATGGCATTTTTATCTGATTGACTGGTATGTTAGCCTATAGTTTGAAGTAAAAAATATTAATATTAATATTAATATTAATAAGGAGGGTCTGAGATTTATTTGACAATGATTTCACATTTCTTGTTTGTATGAAGGCTAAATACCAATAAAAGGTGAACATTTATTTATTTGCGCCATTTTTTTCCTAAAATATTATATAGTTTTATAGGAGTAGGTTTCATAGAGTTGGCAAATTAATTTTTCATAAGTTTGTAGGTACAGACATCTGTTGTGGCCATTCTTGGCCGTTTTTATGAGGCTTTTTTAATAGTGTTCATATCGATATCGGAATTATATTATATCGACCAAAATTAAGAAATATATCGTGATATAAATTTTGGCCATATTGTCCAGCCCTAGTTTCAACTCCAGGTTAAACTTCAGCATTTTGTGTCCTGAAAGAAGATTTAGTTTAGTTAATAGCTATATCTGCTATCTTTTTTAATCTGCTAAGTTTAGTCAATAGCTATATCTACTTGAAATGTAACTCTTCGTTGATTGATTGATTGAAAATTAATTGTTTTTGTTGTTGTTGTTTTGCTTTTTTTCAGTTCAAAAGCCGACATAGACAAGACGTTCTGTGTCGTTGAATGAAACTCAGAGGTATGAAACGTTTTAATGACATTACTAGCCACATTTGATTTACAATAATATATTTTCTGCTCGCAGAGTTTATGTTGCAGTGCAAAATTTGAATGGAATAAATGTCTTGTAATTTTTAATAGATAAGCGTCTTTTGGCATGTAAACTGATATTAAAAACAACATTAACATCCACCAGCATGCAACTCTACGTTTATCATAATTTTCTGTATTAAGATCTGATGATCCCTCAGATGTGAATGAAGATGGAGAAACACGCTGATGCAGGAGCAACTCAGACACTAACACACACACACATACAAACACGCTTGATACATCAATCTACTTGCTTATGTTACAAAGTCATCACTGATTCAGAATAAAGCTTGACATTCAAACTGTTACAATGAGTTTGGTTTCTTTTTACACTATATCCTCAATTAATATGAAATGGCAGTTGTAAAAAGGTAGACTGGTCTAATTTGAATTGAAAAGTAAGACTGATTACCCCTTGGCTAACTGATATTTGGTCAAACTAGTTCTTAAGACACAGTCTTAACATAATGATTGTTTATGCAAGTGGCCCCTGGAGCTACACAGCATGGGCTTTACAGGTTACTCCTCATTCACACACAGTCTTTGCACTTTCTGAGTCACTCTCGCTCTTTCTACAGATGCTGACTGATGAAAGGTACATAGTGCATGTGCACAGACCTTATCTTTCTAATAGTAAATGTGATTAAATGAATAACTAAATGAATTACAAACAAAAATGACAGCAACAACGTCATTTTGTAATAGTCTAACAGGTTGCTCTGAGATCCCTGTGGTATAGAGCATGCAGAAGTTGCTGAAAATTCCAAGAAAAACAATTATTCTGATAGTGATAAACTTGAATACAACTGCGTACATGGCTATGTCTCTCCGAGAAAAATAATCGACAAGTGTAGAGATAATAAATGGATTAAATGGCGTGGTGAAAAATGTTCATGTGGGTATACAAGACACAATTTATAGTCAGTGTGCTGCGGTAAAAAAATGTTTTAAACTTAATTGTATGCATTTTAAGTAAACTGAGTAACTTATCATGTAATAATTTCCTTGGCCTTCAAAGGTTGAATTCTCAAAACTTTGAATTTTATCTTTTGCTTCTGATTTATCATCAGTCAAACGCTGTAAGTTGCCTGAAGATATTCTAAATGGTCTTTACACTATTGAAAGTGGAAGAAACTTTGTTTTTGGAATGATCATATCTGCAGTGATAGGTTAGTATATAAGTTCATATTTAGACAGAGTTGTTTGAAAAAGTAAAGATATATTTTTCAAGCTACCAGATGACACTAGAACATGTCAAGATGGTGGATGGGATATTCAATTACTTAATTATCAATTACCTGCATGTGAAGGTACTGAAAATGTCACCTACACTCTAAAATAAAGGTTCCAAAAGGGGGTGTTCACAACAATGCCACAGAAGAATAATTTTGGGTTCCCCAAAGAGCCTTTCAGTGAACAGTTCTTAAAAGAACCTTTTTTTTTTCCTTACTGTGAAGAACATTTTAATAATCTAAAGAACCTTTTTCCACTATAAAGAACCTTTTGTGCAATGGACAGACCCCTAGGGTTCCAAAAATGCCAATAAAGAACCTTTATTTTTAAGACTTTAAAGGATGCATTTAGTCCTATATTTTTATTAGAAAGTATGTTTTATATACTGTGAATATCCTAAATTAATTTTAACAGCTTAAGTGGCTGGCAGCCTGGTACAGTGGTTATGGTTCCCTTTCAAGGGAACTTCGAAATGCATCCTCTAGGGGTCGCTATGGGGAATGTCTCGTCGTGACCCATGTCTGAAGCATACATTCAAAAAACACCAACAACACGTTGGCCGGTGACAGCCCATGACATCACTACAGGTGCGACTATAGTATAAATAGACGCTAGGAGAACACGTCATCCACTTCTTCGTCTTCACTGACTGTTTTGTTTGAAGTGTGCATTTCCGTGGTAAGAGCGATCTCTATTCCTATCGTTATGGCGAGCACTAGCAAAGCGTTTAGAGGATGTGTGCATCCGTGTCGTCGTTATTTGACACCTGATGACACACAATCTCTGCATTTTTTGTTTGGGCGAAGAGCACGCACGCGAGGTCCTCGGGGCAAGCTGCGTTCATTGTGAGCATTTTTCAATGAAAAGCTCCACTCTCGTTTGTCTCTCTTTTCGAGGAAAAAGGGGCAGCCATCTGCTTCCCGTGATTCAGGACCCGGCGCTGCTGAGGCACGGAGAAGAATGAGCTCGTGGGGATCGCAGGTGGATCTGGCCGATGACTTTAAAGAGGGGCTTTCCCTCTCGCGCTCATCGGCTGTGAACGAGAGTGAGCTGCTGGAGGATGATGTTATTTCTTTAACATCGTCTGATCCAGGGGCCAGTGCTCTGCTGGGTTCGGCTCAGGAAGAGCAGGAGATGTCAGAGGATGGCGAAGAAGCTGAGGCTGAGCCTTCCCAATCCTCCGTCGCTTCGTTGCACACGATGGCGGTGCTCCACGAAGGTCCAGGTCTGAGCCCGAACAACACAGGGGTCCTGGCCCATCTCGGTCTGAGGATCAGAGACGGGCACAGAAGGCTAGTGTCGCGGCTCATGCTCCTCCCCCGCCTGTGGGTAGGGGTAGGAGGAATCATGGGTCAAAGGGAGGTAGGCAAGACCTAAGGGATGTGATCCAGACAAGGCATCACTTTAGTCCAGATCAGAGTGATACTTGAGTATCCTTCCGGGGTTTTACATCTGCCCTTATCTTCCCCTTCCTAATTCCCCTATAACAGTCTCCTATGCTGGACCTATGATGTTTTGGTTGGTCCTATGGCTTCATAGTGACCACCTTACTGATGGTCCAGACTAGAGGCTTCTTCAGGTCGCCTCTTGAACAGGGCTCCGGCGTGGGAACCATGGTGGGTGAGTACGATCCATTTCTAAATATATATACATATGTATGTATTTAATGCGCTGGTGGTTGTGTGTATAATCCATCTGTGAGCTTTCTTTGCAGTTTTTTCCCGGGACCGGTGTGTTTCTGTCCTTTTCTAGGGTAGGTTTTCGGTGAGCACCCCCCTCTGCTGGATTCAGAAACCGGGTGCTCGACTGGGCATATGCTTTCAGGTTGCCCTGTCTGGTACACTGTATCTAGGTCGCCCTGAGGGGCTTCCTGGTCACCAGGGTATCCCCTCTTGCTGAGGCATTGAGCTGGAAGTATAGGTGGCATTTGCGAGAACTTTCTTGTGTAATGCTGTCTTTGAAGCATCGCTCCCCTCACCATTGAGGGTTATTGTGAGCATGGTGCTTCCTTTCGAGTGCTCAAGTTCTCTCCCCTTCTGATGAGTTGGATTCCTTGCTCCATGGGCTGTTCTCGTGGTAGTATTAGGAGTGCTCCCCTTTATCAAAGGGTTGCCTATGAGCGCGCCATTCCTTTTTCTGAATTCGGAGTTCTCCTCTCACGTGAGAGTTGAGTTCTCTGTTTTCCCAGAGCACCTGGAGCCAGCACCGCCTCTCTGATGCGCTGAGTTTTTTGGCTAGCTTGCAGTACGCTTACCCTTCTGGTTTCTAATGATCATGCTGTAGGTCGAGCCCCCTCTCATTGAGAGCTGGGTGTTGTGGTCCCTCAGCTAGGTAACTTAGTGCTAGCGACCCCTAGAGGACGCAGTTCGAAGTTCCCTTGAAAGGGAACGTCTCAGGTTATTTATGTAACCATGGTTCCCTGAGTAGGGAAAGAGACACTGCGTCCTCTACGTTTCCCGCCATGCTTCAGAAGCAAGCTTCAGACGAAGAAGTGGATGACGTGTTCTCCCCTCATGGGCTGTCGCCGGCCAACGTGTTGTTGGTGTTTTTGAATGTATGCTTCAGACACGGGTCACGACGAGGCGTTCCCCATAGCGACCCCTAGAGGATGCAGTGTCTCGTTCCATACTCCGGGAACCATGGTTACATAAGTAACCTGAGACGATTTTGCCATCTGAGCTCCTGAATTTTTTTTTTTTTTTTTTTTAAGAGGTATTGTGTGTGCCAAACACCACAGAGGAAAACATCAAAGTGGAGGGATTCACTGATTTTGAGGAGTTAATCCGATATGGACACAAAAGAAAAGATAGAAATAAATCAGCTGCCAGTCGTATCTCCATGTATTTGCAGTGCAGTAAACACACTATTCCTATTGATATCAATGGATGTGCAGTGTAGGAATAATGCGCAAACAGCAATCTCATTGGCTAGTGCTCACCAGCTGCTACACAAAATCCAGTGCAGGAATCAAATGAACTGGCTCTCCATGTCGCATAAATTAATCAAAATTCCCAAAAGTAGAAATGATGTCTGACTTGATGTAATGTGTGTCGACGAGTTTTTACAGCCACATGCTGGCTTTGCTAGTAGATGTCATAACTACACCATCTGAGACAGCCTTTGTCCATTAACACCCACTTAAAAGTAGTTTTGTATTATGATGAAATAAATAAAACTTTTGCAAACAACATTTAACACATAGTGCATCATGCTGCCATCTCTTCCCCAGGTAAATGACAAACTTGCACAGCTGATCTAAAAGAAAATATAATTTATCAGACCAGGCAACCTTTTTCGATTGCTCCATGTTCCAGTTCTAATGCTCATGTGACCAGTGGTGTATAAAGTACCTGAAAGCCATACTCAAGTAAAAGTACAGATATCTTACCAGAAAATTACTTTGGTAGAAGTTGAAGTCACCGTTTAGAATATTACTTGAGTAAAAGTCTTAAAGTATTTGATATTTATTGGAGTTAAGTACGAAAAGTATTTTTTAAATCTTAAACGTACTTAAGTATTGAAAGTAAAAGTACAAGTAAATGCAAAATGGAAAAGAAGCAAATAAATA